TCCCACTCAAGGAAAATTTCTCACCGGGACCCTTTTCACACGCGGAAGGAGGATCGGCCGGCTTCGCCGTGAGAAGTTTGAAGTTTGTGAATGTAGCTTCTATCCATTCTCAACTGACAGGTGTATAACTTCATGGCCACTCTTTTTTCCGGACTTCAGTACAAAACCTCTTTCGAGCTGCGTGAAGTGCTCTGGTGTCAAGTGTTAAATGGATACACGAAGGAGGCCAAAAGCTTCAACCGTTTAGTCACCGAACTTTGGAAAACAGGAGTTCTAGAGTTCTCCCCCAGTTTGGTCAATTTACTCAGTTGTACTGCTCTCAATTCACGGCAACCTCAACCTTTGACGTCTTCACGTCAGTGAATATTTTGCCTTCTTGATAAGCTCGGCGATTCGTTTGCTGTGTTCCTCGGAGAGAACTAGCCACGTGATTATGGCAAAACTAAAAGAACTCCGAAAAAGGAGATCAAACGTACCCTCCGATCTCCGAGCAGGTTGCGTGGTCTGTGGTGACAGCGGCTTTTTTGAAATGTCCTTCGACACTATTTGACGGTGGACCCCAGTCGAATGGCACGTCACCGACAGCCGGCTGAACGATTGTGTTACAGTGAGTGACTTTTTTATGATTTTTCAGACTTCGATCCCACAAATTCGTTCAAAACTTCTAAAAGTTACGAAAAACTCAGCCAGGTTAATGATTAGCCTGTAACTCGGGATGAAATCGCTGGAGCCGCTCATAGTCTGAGCTTGGAATATCCACAGTCTTCTACAGATCGCCTGTTGACCCTTTGGGTGTCAGTTGGGAGATTCACAATGTCAAGCGCACAACATTCCTGCCACGATTTAACTGATTCAACGTGGAAGTGTTACAGCATGTCGAGTTGGTTAACAAAGAAATGGTTGATGCTCGCTGTCGGAGCGTAGCCAAGATGGACCTTACTATTAGGTCATCCCATTCAAACTGGCCGCTGGTTTTTTTTGAATAAAACAAAGAGGAGAATAATAGAAAAGTGATATTTTAGCTTTAGGATGAGTAAATCCCTCCTTCACCAATGACCCGCTCCCAGTGCCCCGAGGGCCTTTGGACCTCTGGTACCTTCGATTTTTCAACAAGTGTGGGTAAATTGCTGTTGTTGCCAATTTCGGCAAATGACAAAACATTGTAGCGTCTGCCGTCGGAGAGTACTCTCAACTGAATAGAACAGTTGTAATCGCATGGCTTTATGACGGGCGAATGGGGCGATTGAACCCAGGTCTCAGTATTGTTTGTGTCCCAGCACTGATCTACAATACAGTTACTCGGTCTGGTACTATGACGAGCAACGGTGGCCTTCTTGTAGTTGTGTGGTAGCATCCATTTGTCGATCTGAATGCCGAGGAACAGGCAATATGCACCGACAGTGACGGATTTGTTCTCTGTATAGAGCCGCTTGAAAGCCACAGTGTGGGAATCCTTTGCTATGATGATCATCCACTTGCGCCCACGTAACTCTTCATGGTAGAACTCGGGCGGCTTCTCATCTGCATTCATACAAAATTGACGATTGTGAGTTTCGGCTCGAGGTCCGAGACCACCCATATTTCATCTAAGGCCTGGGTGCGTTTTCACAGTTGTGAGTGACATCTCATGCTGAGAACATTACTGCTAGAGGTATAGAATCGGTACTGCGTTCGTGCTTCTATAAGAAAATTGGGTACCCATGCGCACACCCCCTTGACCATCCTCAGTTTATCGGTCATAACACGTACAGTAATTGCAGCAGGGATGTCAGTCTCGCGGGGAAACCCGACAAAGGTCCAGGCTCTGTGATCAGATATTCAGTGCCTGACTTCATCCACCCGTTTTTCTTGTGCAGGATGAATATTATGGGACCATCCACGACAACAAATTTTTTCCTTTCTTCCTTGTACGGGCTCCTGAACCAAATCTTCCACCGTGTATTTCGAGAACACCCTTACACACAACTATGGTCCGGCGCAGGTCAAATTTGAGCAGCGCACTTTCCTCTTATGACGTCTGATTTGAAAAACCGGCGCCGATTTTCACCACTCGGGCTTCTTTTCAATTTCTCGAGAACTTCTTCTGGGGCTAGGTTCGCCAAATTTCACAGATACACAGCTTAAGGTACTAGCTTCCAAATGGTATAGTAGCCGCTGCTCTATCCCCTTTGCTTTTCTGCCATTCCTCTATATGTAGCGGCCAGTTTGAATGGGATGACCTAATAGATAACCCTTCTGATATGCTGCTTTGAAAAATAACAACAAATAGGGAGTCCGAGGCTGCTCAGTAGAGAGTCCACAACGTATTCGAACTACTTCCGGCTTTGTGTTTGCATTTCTGTGTCAGCGGTGCCGTTTGTATCACCTACATTCCTTTACTGTCAAATTGCTCGAGTTGGCGTCAGTAACGTTTCCATCCATCTTCCAGGTAGGCTACAACTACCAATTGGTTTCCCATTGGATACGGAACATGGAGCCGGGTGTTCTTCGTCTTCTTCGCTACTTCCTCGATGTTCTCGAAGGCTCCCCAAGCCGCACACTAGCTTTTGACAGCCTGTGGAATCCAGTCGATAAACGCTCTAGTGCGGAGTGAGTGGGCCATTTGTGAAAAATTAGAGCGTGCGAAGCATCTCACTCAATTTGGAGTTCCGTCTCCCTTCAGCACGCAGGCTAATAGACAGGTCACTAAGCACCGACAAGGAACTGCAGACTGGCATCTCCCCCCCCCCCCAAAGCTGGATTAGTACGAAGGGAGAGTACATATCCCTACCAAGAACAATCTGACTTTCCTGACTCAGCATCTTGCCCATCATTTAGCCACAACACATTTCAGAGCTACTCGAAGTAATATCATGAACAAGAAAACTTACCACGCTGTAGGCAGGAGCTGTAAAGAAAAACACCAATGTGATAAGGACGAGCATCACCAGCACGGCCGCACTCAACGTGGTGATGAATCTGAAATGCTTTGCGTTCTTATGTATATGTGTTCTATTGTTAACAAGGAATTGAGTGAACATGTACTATCTGAACAATTCAGCCTAGAACGATACGACAATGAAGTAGTATGGGAGATTCTACAATTTTTCTTTGGAAACTGTTCTGTAGGAGCATTTCCAAATAAACCTGAGTTAACCTATTAGCCATGCAGAGGCTCACTGACCATTGTCTATAGTCTTGTTCGCAGCGGATGATAGGGGGTGCGAGCGCAGAGGCATTTTGCGTGGGGCAACCCGTTTTTTCTCTTGCAAGCGAAAAACCGTATCATACAGTTCGTGTCAGTCGTTTTCCACCAGTTGTTCTCACTCACCCGCTTCGACAACCTTTGGAAATGGGTTCGGCGGTGCGTCAAACGCGGCCACGCGGACACGCCCCGTCATCCGCAGCGAGCCATACTACACTAGTCGGAAAAAATCTAGCCGCGATTCAAGCGCAGGGCTTTCAAGAAGAATTTGAAATGGGAGGAATATATAATCACGTCACTTT